AGCGGCCTGTCAGTCTGCACCTGGGTGGCTCGGGGCTGGAGCGACACATCCCCATACTCCATCTGGTGCTGAATGGCACGTAGGCGGGAGCGGTGTCGGATGAAGGCCTCTGTGTGGCTTACTTTGGATCTTTGTTTGCAGAGGCCTGATTCGCCTTCACTTTCGGCCTTCCGCTACCTTTTGCTCCTTTTCCCCTCATCTGGGCGGTACGCCTCACAGTGTCTGCCAGGAGGCCACCTATAACAGCACTTGAGGCATTGGCGAGGTTCTCGAGGAGGGACCGTTGCTGTGTGACCGACAGATTCCTCATCCGTCGTTCCAGTTCGGAACACTCCTCCTCAATTCTGGCCACCTCCGCTCTCTCCTCAGCTGTAAGCTCCACGTCTGAATCTTCGTCTTCCTCGACCTCTTCGGGAGCTGGTTCAGCTGTTGGAGTCGTGGGTTCCGTAGCGGGCGTCGAGGGAGTAGCCTTGGGTGGTACACCCTTTGAAGGAGGACTTGGGTTCTCCTGGCCCAGAAGCCTTCGCGCCCACATACCCATGCAATTGGAGGCATGGTCTGCTTCCCCAACCGACGCCGCCAGTGGCATCTCGTGCGCGGGCTGGTCGTAGATGCAGGGGAGTGGGCCCCGGCCAACACGGGGCGGTCCTTCGCCTGGATGAAAATGTTCTCCGAAACTTGGCCTCTGGAGGAAGTCCCGGAAGTTGAAATTTGGGCGGTACGCCCCCGTGCTGGCACTTGTGGGCGGAACCGCGTCTTGGGGCTCTGGGTACGCAGACTGGAGGTCCATGAGCAACGGGTTGGTGCGGTTCGCCTCCCGAATGCGATCCATAATGGACCCACGTTGCTGTGCCCCATGTATGATGTCCTGCGCCACACGTCGGATGTACACCACCCCCACTTTGCCCCAGGATTGGAATCCACTGAGGGATCTTCTCGACATAGCTAAATACTGGAACAAAGACCAGGGGATAACCAATCTCGGCGTGTCGACATCGATGTCACGGGTTGTAAACCAGAGAGCTTCCCCATTTGGTAACACTATGGCCAGCGGCCGTGTCTCGCCCATGGGGCCCCTGGCCTTCTTGGGGACCGGGTCTGGGCTGAGGTGGCTACTGGCGGTAGCGCCTGGCCCCGTTGGTCCATCGTGCCCCGGCTCGGGGGCTGGTTCAGCCACAAAATCTCCCGGTGAGTAAGAAATCGGTCTGAGGTCGTGCTCATCACCGGGGAGCTGGGCTGAGGCGAGTGCCAAACGGTCTGCCCCGGATAGGCCTCTGCCGGGATCCCTGATGACTTTGCTGTAGGAGGGATATAGGCAGACACCGGTTCGGGCTCGTCCACCTCCATTGCAGTTGTCTCGGTCGGGGTGGGAGCCACCACATCGTCTGTAGCCTGGGACGGAATACCCATCTCCTCCTCCTCGACTTCGACAACCTCCTCCTGGTCATCAACGAGGTCGACATTTCCCCGTCGGTGGTTGGGTGTGACCCCCCCACACCGGGAGCTTCTAGGCCCATCCCCGAGCCTTGGTTCACCACCTCTCGCCGATTAAGGACCACCGGCATGGCTGTTGCACCCTTGACCACGAAGCGATCCTCTGCGGCTTGACCATGGTTGATGAGCGGAGCGCTCCTCGGCCTCCACTTCCCACATCCACAGACACTTCGCTTGACGGTCACCCCGTCCTGGCAGTGAGGGCATATCCAATGCGTGGCATGTTCATGGACATTGCCTTCAGCATGTTGTGAGGTGCTGCATGTGTTGCAGCCATACCGGTGCAGCCCATTCACCTCGCCGCACCTTCCACACACCCAGTGCAGTGTATTGCTGAAGGCACCGGGTGGCGGTGGTTTGGGAGCGGCCTTGGATGGGGGTGGCCCTGCTGACGGGCGGTGCGTTCCTGCCAAAGGTGCTTTGGACGGTCTCGGCGGTGGCGCCTGTGTAGAACCCGAAGCTGTAGAAGGCGGTGGAGACGACGGCCTTGCCTTTGGCGGGGCTTTGTATGCAGGACGGTTCGTCCCCGCTGTTCTCCAGCTTCTGTTGTCTCCACGAGGACGATTGCAAGTGGGGCACTTCAGCGCATGGGTGGAGACCTTGGCCTTGCAGTTGAAACACCACCAAGTGTCAAAGAAGCCCTCCCTCGGGGGCGGGGCCTTGGTCTTCGGCCCACCATCGCCACTAGGAGGAGGGGGCGGTGGCGCCTTCTTTGAGTCCGTGGGCGGAGGGTCAGTGGAGGCACCTGCTCCTGAGGGTTCGGCCCCAGNNNNGGGCGGTCTCGCCAGTGCCCAGAAGACCTGGGCCCTTTGCCACGGTGGGTGCCACTCGCTCCTTTACCTTTTCCCTTGGTTCCTTTCCCGAAACCTGGGAAACGTTCTATCCTCCATCGCCGGTGCGTGCGCACCCATCCACAACCAAAACACCAGCCTTCGCCCCAGTATTGGTGGTGACCACACTGACGACAGAACCTCAAAGTTCGCCCCTTTCTGACCCTAGGATATCGGTCAATTTGGGGACCGGATGAGTCCGAGTCCAGCTCCCAGCTGCCATCGCTCTCAAAGTCGTCCTCGGAGATGTCGGACATGTCGGACACCTCTTCCCACACTTTGCCATGGGGGTCCTCCCAGACGTGCCTTCCCTTCTGTCTCCAGGGGCCTTTGCCCTTGCCCTTCTCGTACCATGTATAGCCCGAGGAAGGATCTGGCGGTGGCGCCTTGGAAGACGAAGAAGAAGAAGGACCAGGCCGGTCATACCACGAAGAACTCGACGACGGACCCGGCGGTGGTGCCTTAGACGAAGAGGACGAGGAAGGGCCGGGTCGGCTCGAAGGCTCTGGTTCAGGCTGAGGCGGTGCCGCCGAGGAAGAAGGTGGCGGTGCGTCACGCGAGTGAGGAAGGGCCGTCCCACCAAGCCCAAGGATGTCGTGAAGAATGCGCAGCCCAGAGCTCAGGAGGATCTCCTTCGCATTCCCAAGCGCCGACATACGCAGCGTCGCATCCGCCTTCTCCGACTCAGGCACC